ACTGTAAACTGTGCCTCCTGGATAGAGTGAATGTACAGTAATTGTGGTTGAATGAGACATATAAATATAAATATAACATTTTTACACCGTATTAGTTTGTGCACAATCCACCACAGCCGCACGACACATACAGTATGTCACACTCCAGCATTGCAGATCAAACCTATGTAGCCTGAAGATGTATGTGGTATATACATAAAATATATACAGTATGTACCTGAAACAGCTACATTGGTGCATCCTAAACTTTTTAGTATTAATATTTTAATAGTCATTTTGAAAAACATTTTTTGGGGAGGCCACCTACCAATAAATATCATTTTGGAAAATCTAACCACTCATTTTTACACAGTACTTTTACTTTAATACTTAAGTACATTTTATGTCAGAAATGTACTTTTGATACTTAAGTACAAAAAAATATCAGATACTTTAAGACTTTTACTCAAGTAATATACTTAGAGGAGACTTTAACTTTTACCAGTTATTTTATGGTAAGATACTTGTACTTTTACTCAAGTATCACTTTGTGGTACTTTATAYAAGACTGCAAAAGAAGCTGTTTCAAAAATATGGGAGTACTTACATGATAAGTTCCTCTTTATCTGCACCTGCAGAGAGCAAAATGTGAAGAAAAGATACATCAGTAACACAGACATTGTTTTTTTTCCAGCCATTAAAAGTCCTGAACAGAAATACAGCAGAATCAGTCAGACATTTTACCAAAATATTCACCCACTGATAAAAACAAAACATCAAGCACCCAAAAACATCACTATCACTGAACCTAATCAACATCAGACTCAGCTTCCTGGTTWCAGCGCAGAACAGTTAGGCTTCGTTCACACTACAAGACTATAAGACTACAAGCTTCTGCAACTCTTGTGAGAAAACTAATGATAAATTCAGATTTTTATGTGTGAACGTTAAAATTATATTTCAAATGTGACCTCCATCAGACTCCAGTGTGAACTCTACATGGCTCCTGATGTGACCCGTACGCACAGAAAATGACTTGACATCACACTCGGCACGTTGTTTACAGAAGTAGCTAAACGTGGCTGCTACATGTTAGCATGTTGATTCTGAAGTTGTGCAATCAGGCCGATTTAATAATTATCTGACATGCTTGTTTAGTTCAGCCAGGGGGTGGCCATGGCCACCACAGACAAATCTTTGGCCACCCTGCTGTACACACCCCTTACAGAATGAAACGACCTTTAGGGGTGTAATAACCCTCCTGAACAGTTGGTGGCAGTGTTTAACAGTTTGAAACATCACCAAGCTCAAAGAAGTGACAAAATGTAATCTGACTTATGGTGACAAATGTTTTTGTTTTTTGTCATCATAACACAGTGCCATTTTATGTTATGAAGGC